CGTCAGCGTAAGCTGCCACCTTGTGTTCTTGTTCTTTGTATCGGAGTCCTTGGATGTTGGGCGTTCGTTGGATCTTATCTAGGAAAGGCTCCAGTGTGAGAGCGAATAAGAGGGGGGATAAGGGGCATCCCTGTCTGGTGCCGTTGTGGATGGTGAAGCTAGTTGTGAGTGCTCCGTTAACCCGTAACCCGTTTGGATTGCGGTACAATGTTTCAATCCACGTGAGCATCCCCTTCCCTATCCCTATCTTGGCGAGCGTTGCCATGAAGTGCCACTTTACCCGATCAAACGCCTTTTCTGCATCTGTGGAGAGCAGTAGCATGTTCTTGTTTTCCTTTAGTGCTAGGTGCCGAATAGTAAACGTCCTCAGGGTGCAGTCTCTGGCCTCTCTCCCCAGGATGAAGCCCGTTTGATCTGGATGGATCAGCCTCGGGAGGTATGGTTGTAATCTATTTGCTATGATTTTAGAGAATAGCTTGACGTCCGTGTTGAGGAGTGAGATGAGGCGGTAGTTGCTGCAGCATTTTGGGTTTTTGCCTGCTTTAGGTATGACGGTAATGGTGGCGGCCATTGTCTCCGCGTGGAATCCGTCTCCTTTCTGCAGTTGGTTTAGTGCAGCGGTGAGTCTGGGGATCAGGATGTCCCCGAATTTCTTATAGTACCCAGGCGGGAATCCGTCTGGGCCGGGTGCTTTGCCATTCTTTGTCCCCTTAATTGACAGTCTGACTTCCTCTTCGGATATCGGCACTTCCAGTGCTTCAGCTTCCTCACCTGTTAGCGCCTCTGGTTGGAATCCTTGTAGCTATTGCTCCACTTCTCTGGTGGTAGCCTCAGGGCCGGACTGGGGATTCCAAAGCAGCCCTGGAAAAAAAATCTATGCCAGCCCCATAAGTCATTGCGCCAATATGTAAGGCTATGTCTTACCACCCTAGATGATTGATATATATATTGCTTTTTCCAATATAAAATATTGGTCCTTTCAGAGTAAAATTTTTAATTATACAGTAAGCATACTCACATGCAGACACAGGCAATCTCACTGACACAAGATGATTGATACACAGCCTCATAAACAAACAATCTCACTGATATACATAAGGTCATTGACATAAAAACACAAGCTCACTCAGTAGCAGGCACGCACACACGCGCACGTGCACGCACACACACGCGCACACACACACAGCTTAATGTAGTGGTTTTGGTGTCTATAGCCTGTCCCTGCAGACTTTTCAAATGTAAACACTGACTTTTTAGAGAAAAGGCAGTGTTTACATTGCTTCCTAGTGACAGACACTCAGACGGTCACTAGAGGTGCTTCCTGTGTCAGTGCAGATTGGCTGAGATCATCAAGCTTGCTTATCTCAGCCATTGAGGCAGGGCCAGTCGAGGAGAGACCAGCACGACGTGGGGGGGGGAAAAGGTGAGTAAAAACACACATACCATGACAGACACACACCATGACACAGACAGACCGTGACACAGACAAACACACCGTGACACAGACAGAAACACACCATGACAGAGACACACACACACCATGACAGACACACACACATACCATGACAGAAACACACCATAACACAGACAGACTGTGACAAAAACACACTGTGACACACACATTACATGACACAGATGGACACACACACCATGACACACAGGCACCACGACACAGAGAGACCGTGACACAGACACACACAGTGACACAGACAGACACACACGCCATGACAAACACACACACACCATGACACAGACAGACCATGACACAGACAGACACACACACACACCATGACACAGGCAGACACACCATGACAGAGACACACACACACACAATGACACAGACAGAGACACACACACACACAATGACACGGACAGACACACACACCATGACAGACAGAGACACACACACACAATGACACAGACAGACACACACAATGACACACACAATGACACAGACAGACACACACACTCACACTGACACACATAATTTCTACCTTTGTGCTGGCGGCCGCATGGGGGAGCTGAGTCTTCTTGCGGCCGCAGAGAGAGCTCTTCTGGCGGCCGCAGGGGCAGCTGGCTGTTCTGCCTCTTTTCCCCCGCCCTCGCGCGCTGCTTAATGAGCCCGGGGCCGGAATATGACGTCATATTCCAGCCCCGGTCTCTTTCTAGCGCGCAAGGGCGGGGGAGCAGAGGCAGAACAGCTAGATCCCCCTGCGGCCGCCAGAAGAGCTCTCTCTGCGGCCGCAGGTGAGCTGGCTGCCTGCCCGGCCCCAGGTGCCGACGGCCCACCGGGAAATTTCCCGGTATCCCGGTGGGCCAGTACGGCCCTGGGTAGCCTTCTGTATCCCGGTAGATCGGTCCGCGTGGATATATTATTATCATTATATAGTGCTGTGTAATATGTGCGGAACTCCTCCGCTATTTCTTCTGGGAATTGTGTGAGGCGTCCTATTGAGGTTCACAGTGTTGGTACCTGGGCTCTCGTTTGCTGCCCTCTTATCATCTGCGCTAGTAGTCTGCCGCTTTTATTTGCGTGTATGTAATAGAAGGCCTTCGAGCGCTGTAGTGCTCTATGGTATGTGCGGTCTATGAGCTCTGTGAGTTGTCTGCGCGCTGACAGGAGTTCTCGATATTGGGCTTCTAGTTGGCTTCGTTTATGAAGGGTCTCCAGTTTTGCTATTTGGGTCGTTAGGTCTTCGATTGCTTTCAGGTTGTCCCGTTTTTTACGCGATGCTAGTGGGATAAAGTGACCTCTGAGGACGCTCTTATGGGCCTCCCAGAGTGTTATCTGTGACATGTCAGCAGTTGCGTTCTCTTTCGAAGTATTGGTTCAGATGTACGGTCAGTTGCGATTGGATTACCACGTCCAGGAGAAGCGATTCATTCATTCTCCATGACGTTCTGGTGGGCTTGAAAATGGGGGAGTCTAGGTGTATGGAGGTTTCGCTGTGGTCCGCCCACGGGGTCGGTCTAATGTCGGCTTTTTGTAGATGTGTGAGTCCCTCTTGTTGGATGAAAATGTAGTCAATGCACGAGTAACGCCTGTGGAGGGTCGAGTAGTGCATGTAGTCTCGGCCGTCTGGGTGGAGTGCTCACCAAGCATCCACCAGTCTCAGATCGAGCAGCGTTCTGCGGAGTGCTCTGATTGCTGTTTGTGCTACTGTGCTATGTCCAGTGGAGGTGTCTGCTATTGGGTCCAAAGGTAGGTTAAGGTCTCCGCCAAGGATAAGGATGCCTTCTGTGAAAGTTGCTAGTTTCAGGAGCGTTCTGCGCAGGAACTTAACCTGGTTTGTATTTGGGGCGTAAATTGAGGCGAACGTATAGGTTTTCCGGGAGATTGTTCCCTTCACGAATATGTATCTTCCGTCTGTGTCTTTGAGCGTTTCAGAGTGGGAGAATTGTAGATTGGTGCTGAGGAGAATCGAGACTCCAGCTTTTCATGTGGTTTGGTGGCTACTATGGTAGGTGGTATTGTAGTGTTTGTTTTGTATTCTATGGGTGTCGGCGTCCCTGAGGTGCGTTTCCTGTAGAAGGGCAATCGATACTCGGCGGCGTTTTAAGTCTTGTAGGAGGTAAGACCTTTTTTCAGGTGCGTTCAGACCTCTGCAGTTTTGTGTGATTATGTGGAATGGTGCGGGTGTGTATGCCATTTGGTGTGGGTGGGTTGTGTTATTCTGTATGGGCGGGGATGGGGGCCCAGGTACGGGTTAAGGCAGGGGCGGGTAGTAGAGGGTGGTTTAGGGTTTGGTAGGAATGTAGAGAGGGTTACCTCGGAGCTCCCGTGGCCGCATCCCGCGCCCGCCTCCCCCCCGTCTCCTGTTCCCTGGGGGTCACTTGTGGGTTGTGCAGTGAGATAGTGCTTGTTATGGGCTTGTGTGCTGTTGTCTGTTTTGTTTCGTGGATGTCTGGGGTATTAGTACCTGTAGGGATAAGGTACCTGTGTAACCGAGTTGGATGGCAATGCCGAACCGCCACTTAGTGTTAACTAGGGCAGCAAGGCAGTGTTCCCCTCGGTGGTCTGTGTCTACACAGGTGTAGGTCGGGTCGTGGTCTCCCGTTTATATCATATACCACCGGAGTTGTGGTGGCGTGTTTGAGTGGAGGGGTTGGTCCAAGTGTACCCGTCTCGTGGGCTATCCGTCTCATTGGTGATTGGTTGCATGTTGAATGCTAAGGCTCAGTGTGGCGGTCTTAAGGGTTTAGTATGGGCGCATGTGAGCAGTCCGTATGGCGGTGCCCCACTGTAATGGTAATAGTGATTTGGAGTGCAGCTTTTGGGTGGGGTCGCCTGGCCTTAGTAATTGTTTGGGGGTGGTCCAGTCTCGGGATGTTGCGTGGGTCCCCCTGCGTGTGTGGTCTTTTTGCTGGTTGTGCCTGGCTGTGTAGGTTTGGTGTTTCTGCGGTTATAGTGTCCCGTCTCCTAAGTCACTCCCCTTCCTTATGTTGCATTGGGTCTCGTAACCGCGATGTCCCCTCTCGTAAGATTTATTTTGTGGTTCCCATCCTTGCCAGTCCCCTGCTCCCTCCGTCTTCCCCTCACCACCCTAGTCCATTCCGTCCTTAGGTGCTTCAGCAGTGGTCGGTCCCCTGAGCTTCCCCCCTATGTTTTGTCATTACTTTTGCTCTCATAGGGGACTCTAGGGTGGGGTCTGGGAGTTTGCTTCGTCCTACTGGGGTGTGCTCATGTGGGGGGCGTGGGGTGTCTTCACTGGATATTATTAGAAAGGTTGACATGGGGGTCAGATATTGTTACATGCTTGAAGGGACTGTCGCCAACGGGTTCCCACCTCCCCCACCCTAGGCGGGGGGGTGGGGTGGAGGAAGGGCACAGCCCCCTGCTGCCCGTGGAGCTATTTTCGGTCACCGTACCCCGCCGCTCACTTTATTCCAGGCAGCGTGATGCCATGACAGCTGGCCTATTGCCCTGCACAAAACACTTCGGTTACAAATTAAGTTATCAGTACACCTATGTCGGCATACCGGGGAGGCCCAGTGGGCCCACCGGCGGCACGCCCCCCGCACATCACATTATAGCGTCATGCACGTAGGCACCACCGCCGCTAGGCCCACCCCCCCCCAGGCGCCAGGTGGGGGCGAGGGGCACCCTTCATTGCTGCCTGTGGAACCGGTTTCAGTCACCACAGCGCGCCGTACATGTTACATATTACATAGTTACATAGTTACATAGCTGAAAAGAGACTTGCGTCCATCAAGTTCAGCCTTCCTCAGAAATGTTGTTGCTGTTGATCCAAAAGAAGGCAAAAAAACCTGGTCTGAAGCACTTCCAATTTTGCCACAAACTAGGAAAAAATTCCTTCTTGACCCCAAAATAGCAGTCAGATGTCTCCTTGGATCAATCAGCTATTACCCCACTAATTAGAAATTATATCCCTGTATGTTATGTTTTTGTAAGTATTTATCCAATTTCAGTTTAAACATCTGTATGGACTCTGACAAAACCACCTCTTCAGGCAGAGAATTCCATATCCTTATTGTTCTTACTGTAAAAAAACCTTTTCTTTGCCTTAGATGAAATCTCCTTTCTTCCAGCCTAAATGTGTGACCTCGTGTCCTATGTATAACCCTGTTTATGAATATATTTCCAGATAAAGGTTTGTACTGGCCCCGAATATATTTGTATAAAGTTATCATATCCCCTCTCAGGTGCCGTTTTTCCAAACGAAACAGATTTAATTTTTGTAACCTTTCTTCATAACTAAAATTCATTGGGAAGAACTTTGTTATTAGCAATAATCAGCATGGTTTTATGAAACATAGGTCATGTCAAACTAACCTAATTGCATTTTACGAAGAAGTAAGTAGAAGTATAGATCAGGGTGTTGCAGTGGATGTGATCTACTTGGACTTTGCCAAGGCATTTGATACGGTTCCTCACAATAGGTTAGTCTTCAAACTAAAAGAAATTGGTCTAGATGAATATTCCTGTTCTTGGGTAGAACATTGGCTTAAGGACAGAGTACAACGAGTTGTCATTAATGGTAAATTTTCAGGCTGGACAAAAGTGGTAAGTGGTGTCCCTCAGGGTTCTGTTTTGGGACCACTTCTATTTAACATATTTATAAATGATCTTGAAATAGGCATTGAAAGCCATGTATCAGTGTTTGCAGATGACACAAAACTTTGTAAAGTAATAAAATGTGAGCAGGATATTGCTTTGTTGCAGAAAGATTTGGATAGATTGGGGGACTGGGCACTAAAATGGCAGATGAAATTTAACATAGAAAATGCAAAGTTATGCACTTCGGGGTTAAGAATGCACAAGCAACTTACACACTAAATGGTAGTGAATTAGGGATAACCACACACGAGAAGGATTTGGGCATTGTTATAGACAACAAATTAGGCAGCAATATGCAATGTCAATCTGCAGTTGCTAAGGCCAGTAAGATTTTGTCATGTATAAATAGGGGCATAAATTCTCGGGATGAAAATATAATTTTGCCTCTTTATAAATCGCTGGTAAGACCACACCTTGAATATGCTGTGCAATTTTGGGCGCCTGTTCTAAAGAAGGATATCATGGCACTGGAGAGGGTCCAGAGATGAGCTACAAAATTGATAAAAGGAATGGAGCATTTTAGTTATGAAGAAAGGTTAAAAAAATTAAATCTGTTTCGTTTGGAAAAACGGCGCCTGAGAGGGGATATGATAACTTTATACAAATATATTCGGGGCCAGTACAAACCTTTATCTGGAAATCTATTCATAAACAGGGTTATACATAGGACATGAGGTCACACATTTAGGCTGGAAGAAAGGAGATTTCATCTAAGGCAAAGAAAAGGTTTTTTTACAGTAAGAGCAATAAGGATATGGAATTCTCTGCCTGAAGAGGTGGTTTTGTCAGAGTCCATACAGATGTTTAAACTGAAATTGGATAAATACTCACAAAAACATAACATACAGGGATATAATTTCTAATTAGTGGGGTAATAGCTGCTTGATCCAAGGAGACATCTGACTGCTATTATGGGGTCAAGAAGGAATTTTTTCCTAGTTTGTGGCAAATTGGATGCGCTTCAGACCAGGTTCTTTGCCTTCTTTTGGATCAACAGCAACAACATTTGTGAGGAAGGCTGAACTTGATGGACGCAAGTCTCTTTTCAACTATGTAACTTCAGAATAGCCAACATGCATTTTAAAAGGAAGAAGGGGAACGTATATCAGTAACCCTATATATTATGTCACTGCACACCCTAAAAAAGACACCCCTCACCTGTTGTTATTTAGACATGCATAATTGAATACGATGCATTGTGAAAATAAGTTTTAATGCACGTGATGCCCTAATGCCAAGCACTCCCAGAAGGCCTAGACTGCAGTCGCATGCTAGAGATTTTATGAGCAGCAGCAGAGACGTGGTTCAGTTGTAACAAGTACAACAATTATTGTTTTTGTTTGTCGATAACTTCAGTAGCACAATGTACACATTAAAATGTGTAACCAACCGCAAGAGGACCTTGTCAATCACACCTTTGTGGCAGACAGGTCCACTTGAAAAGGAATGCACAGTATGTTCAAAAACATCAATTATAATGCAATGCACAAAATGGCATATCTGTTTCCACAATATTCACACAAAGAAAACACAGAGGTTCACACAATCACCTCCACTTAGCAAACAACTAGCGTTATGTAAATGCTCTAAAGCCACAAAGATTTGCTTTGGTTAGAAAGCTATACAAACAAGGGGTCGGTTTAGCAATTATTCCCATACAGATTGGTTTTCTGTGTTTACAATGGACTCTAACAAGACCTGTCATAGTACATTCCCTTTCACACCAACACCCCTAGTTTCCAACCTCAATAAAGCCTCCTCTTAACCAAAAATACAAGGAAATGTTTGACACTGAGGCGATGTTCACTCTGTATGAAGATCTTACGCAAGCCAAAGTTTTAAAGGTCCAATATTTTGCAATGGCTCTGAAGTTAAAGGTTGCTCACTTTAAACTTGATTTCAAAAATGATAAATTCCCAAAATATCAGAACACACATCACACAAAGCCCCCTCTCAATTTAAC